GGGCTTTGGGGCTACTTGCTTCTTACAACCTGCCATGTGCCTGGAGGAGTCTCTGGGTGGTGCACAGATGGTACAGACTCAGCTGCTCACCAAAAGGTTGGCAGTTCCAGTCCACTCAGTGGCACCTTGGAAGAAAGCCCTGCTGGTCTACCTCAGAACAATTCACTATTGCAAACCCCAGGACACAGTGGCCCAAAGTGGGACCTGACCTAAATGCCCACCAGCAGGTGAATGAGTAGACACAGAGGGGTGCATGCGTGCGAGGAGGAAATGCTATTGTCTTTCCCTTCCCTTTTCCCAAGAACTTTCTGCAATGCTCTCCCAGAAGGACGCTCAGCCAGTGGGAGAAAGGAAGTCTTGATACCATGCTAGCGTAGGAAGGACTCTGAGGATAATATGCTGAGCAAAATATGTCAAAAAGGAGAAACATTGTATAGCTTCACATAGACAGAAAGACACGGTGTATTAGGGTGTCCACATGTGGGGAATAGAAGGGTTCCCACTCATGGGAAAACAGAATTGATTAAGGATAAGGTTGCACAGTTCATCATTGTAATGGCTGTCAATAAATTGTATGCCTGTTAAAGTTGAATTAGCCAAGGTTATGGGGGGGGCGGGGTCTGTTTATAACAACACAACTACCAAAAAAAGAGTAACTGCTGAGGCTGCTGGTCCACAAGCCCACATCTCACAGGACCTGGCTCCTTGGTTTGGAGATTTAGGGTCATGATTTTATGGGCTATCCAGGTCCTTGGCCTCATCCTGGGTTGCCGTGCTTCTGTTCTGCCTCCTAGCTTGTTGCATCATGCCTGGAGTCCCCAAACCTTGTACTGTGTCACCCAGGGCACGACCGTTCGTCTCTCGTCACCCAGAATAGCAGGAGAGTCAGGAATAGGAAGAGGATATGAAATGGATGGGTAATCCCCTCCGTGAACAACTGCCTCCCTTGGCTTGAGACTGGAGAACCAGATGATGCACAGCTACCATTACGGGACATTTCAATCACAGATTCTAGGATGAATCCTGATCAAAAGGGGGGAACTGTAAAGCAGATTTTCAAATACTCATCAAAAAACAAAAACAGAAAAACCTCACGGCCAAGGAGTCAGTTCTGACTCATGATAACCCTATAGGGCAGGGTAGAACTACCCCTGTGGGTTTCTGAGACTGCAACTCTTTATGGAAATAGAAAGCCTCATCTTTCTCCCTAAGAGTGACTGGGGTTTCAAACAGCTCCCTTCAT